AAAAAAAAAACGTTTTCCAAAAAAAAAAAGAGTAGAAAAAAAAAAAAAGCAGTTTTAAAAAAAAAAAGTTAATGGAAAAAAAAATGCCTGAGAGATAACACCGTCCAGGAGGAGGAGGTGATTAAGGACACACCTTGTGACTCATAATGACCCATTGTGAGATGCTCTGCCCAAGGGGAGGAGCTAGCCATTCCCACCTGGATAAAACTGGAGATTTCTACACAGAGCGGAGCCTTTCCACAGGTTCTCTGAGAAGACACAGCAACTACATCTGCCATCCCAAGAGGACTGCAGCTACTCCAATTCGGACTGCTACCAGCACGCTGGCCAGGTTGTATTCTGACTTTGTCAGTAGCTTTTCCCTTTGTATTATTGCATGTATTTTTGTCCTTTTCCCCTTTTCCCCTTTTCCCAATAAATTGTATTTCTGACTTGGAGTCTCTCACTGGTTTTGCTTTCAAACCAGGACAACCATTAATATGGAATGAATATTAATAATTTACATTAATATTAAATATGTGTATTATTTTTGCACAGTTTACTTGAAGTATTCTGAATATCCTTCAAACTTCGTATTGCATCCAGTTGTCTGAATGCATTGCAAAAAAAACAACCATTATATTTACTGTATTATGTAAACCTAACCCATCCATGCAGAGGAAGTTGTAGAAACTATGAGGCTTGTACTATTCTGGCTTGTACTATTATTTTTTTTGCAATTCTGCTATTTGATGTCTTGTTAATTTCCCACATACTGTAAGATATGAAAGAACTATACTAAGGCAAAACCCTTTAGGTTAGACATAGGAAAGCCTTAACAGTAAGGATAGTTGTTAGTTGCTTTCCTGCAAGAAGGGTATCCTGCAAGGTTTATAACCTGGGGCTGTTCAAGCAGCAGTCAGGAAGGATATTATAGAGTTGATTCTGTTGAAAGGAAGGGAGAGTGACTAAGTGGCTTCTGGGACTCATTCCTACTTCAGCTGGTATAGGAAAAGGCGCAAACTTGGGTGTATGCACTACATTTCAAAGTAAAGATTCAGTTGTTGGTATTCACCTGCAGGGGAAGAAAATAGGGGAACAAACAATTGCATAAGGAAATGAGCTCTAGGCCTGCATCTCAAACCTTTACCAAAGGCAAAGAGCTATAGTGATGCTCAGTTTTGGAAGGAGTTTTGCCTGGACAACCAGCTGTTTATGACTATTGACAAGGGCATTGTTCCTCTCAGTACACTCCATGAGAATACTCAGTCCTTTGAGTGGATCTCATTCATTTACCAATATGTTAGGGTCATATAAACTAATTGATTATCAGTCTCTTATTTAGCAAGGTCATTTTAGTAAAGATGTTTTCCTAAAGTGTTTTATTATCTGATAATGCTACTATCCATCTATTCCAAGTAAAAAGCTTTCAGCAGTGCTGGGAGTATGCTGGTAATGCCTGTGGTGCTGGTGCTGAGAAGCTGGGTGTATGAGAGCCTGAGGCAGGAAAGCAGCTGCTGGGTAGGAACCAGAGCCCAGTTTGGTGGATGCCAGCAGGACACAAAGTCTCCCTCGTCAGCTGCAGAACTGGCTGCAGAACTGATGCTGTCTTTCCTACACAGAGTATTGCAATGAGAAAATAAAGCCTTTGAACCTATTTTTGTAAGTTCAAACCAATCAACTTGAAACCTGTTGTATTAAGGTAGGAAAAAAAAAAGCATATTTGCATACAACAAATTTCCTTATAAGCTTGAGCTGCAATATAAGCTAGTTTGTGGACAAACATCACCTGACACCGTATCTTGAGTGCTGTCTGACACTTTTATCCATGCTGCGGATTTAATGTCACTCATTTTTTCCAAAAGCTATCGTCTGCTGCACCCCTCTGGATGTTGTCAGCACAGCACATTCTCCAGAAAACCTCACCCAGTGTGAATTGGGATTGCAGCATAGTTTTCATCAGCAAAGATGTGATTTTATTTGATCCTATTAGAACATGGGCATAAAAATCTCTCAGCTTTTGATTGTTCTAAGATTTAAATTAACTCCAAAAGAAAAGATGTTTCCATGCTACTTGCTAGCAGATCTAGAGTGGTTTCAGACTTTTGCACCTGTAGTCTATTGGCATCTGAGGACAGAGCAGGCAGTGATGCCAATGATAGAAAAAGTGAGGCTTGGCTCCCCGTAATTTATTTCCCTGCTCATCATATCCCAGTGCATCTCTTGGTTACTCCACTTCTCTGCTGTATTAAACTGGGAAACCTTCAGGTCCTGCATGCCCTTCTACCCACCTCCCCCAATTGGTCCTCTAGTCCTGCTCCCTCCCATTCATGTCCCCATAATGTCTGTGTGAGCTGCTCCTGGCTTCCACGAGGACAGCCTGTCTCTTCCACAGCCATGTGGCCCCAGGATTCACCAATGCATGTGCTGACATGCTGGTTGGAGGGTACAGACTGGCTGGCTGGCCAAGCAGAGATGAGTGGTGATTGCTTCCACCATGAGTATCTTCATGGAAATTTTGGGTTCTTTTCTCTGTTCAACCACCAATTTTCTGAAGCCTTGTAGGAACATTCCTGTAGGAATATCCTTCTGCCAAATACAATACAGGTTGAATGATGTGCACAAACCCTGACTCTGTAGGTTTGGATGCAGATGAGCTGGAGATGTGTTGCCATATAGACATAGCTCACCACAAAAGACTTACAACCAAAGACTCGTTTTCTTACTAGTGCCACTCCTTCCTGTTCTCACTGAAGTTACACATTGGCTAAGAGACCTCTGCAGTATGACAAAGTTGAGGCTAAAAGCCCACAAAAAGGCCACTTCCCTACTGCCTCCTCAGCAGCCCAGGGTGCATTTCTCACCCTGGAGGGAACTTTGACCACTGCATTTACCCCAGGTAAATGCATTTACTCCCAGCACAGAGAGGAATATGTAGGACTCCCACTTTCCTCCCAACTGTGTCCTCATCTGCCCTCCCAATCCCAGCTAAAGGCTACTCTGACTAGCCAGGCAAACCAGATTAAACTCCCGAAGGCACTATGGCTGGGAACTCCTGGCTTGTCTTAGCTGAGCCCTATGGTGTTGACAGATGTGACAGATGTTGCTGAAATGCATGGGGCACCCTGCACACACCCTGAGGTGTGGACAAACTTGAGATATCAGCAGCTTTGCCAGAGGCCAAAGGCACATCATACACTGAACCAAAGTGAATGATGCCTCCCAAGTCATTAAAAAAAAAAAAAAAAAAAAAAAAAAAAAAAAAAAAAAACAAAAAAAAAAAAAAAAAAAAAAAAAAAAGAAAAAAGAAAAAAAAAAAGGCTGAGGGAAGTAACTTTTTTCCTCCAGAAAGGTCATTGGAGGCTGTTAAAAACAATTCTGATATAGAGTTAGCATTATCAGGGTCTGTTTTGGAGGACTGACTTACACGGGTGCATAAATCAGCAGCAGTTCCAATTTAAGGCTGTTCAAGTCTCTGACTGGAAATACTATTGGGACCTAAAGCTGAATATCCAGGACATATAAAATTAGGTGTGTGGATTGTGTCTTGTTCCCATGATACTTTCTACCACTATGATCCTTGTCTTTACCTTAACAAAGTGATGCCAAGCAATGTGAGAAAAAAAACCAAACATGTCCCACAACGAAGAAAGTACTTTCACATTTCCCAGTATCCAGTTGTCCTGGGTTGTAAGATAAGCTTGTATTCTATTTGCCATCTGTCGAAGGTTGGGCAGGTTTGTTATCTCTCCCAAAGACAATGGTTTGCCCGGTAGAGGCAATGGTTTGTTTATACACTATTGACTGACTCACTGCAGGGCTGGTAAATGTAACACCATCCTATTGTGAGGGGTCCCACCCAGGGGGGGAAGCCAAGCACTCTATTATT